GCTTTAGGACCACCTACTCATAAATATCGTCACTTTTTTTTTTGACGCGAGAATCAACACTTGTGGTAAAGACTCCCGGTTACTAGGTGAGAACATCAGCGGAGTAGAGCCATATGTTATTCACAACAAAATACCAAAATACCAGACAATTAAATATCATAGCCCACGTCATCTCCGACATATGGAGAACTAAGATCCGTAGGGGACCAATCCACACAACAGTTGCCAGCACAATATTTATATTGCCTAAACAAATTAGTCACCATTCGCACAAAGTCATTGAACTCACAGTATTCACCAAGACAATATGCTCTTACTTGCCACCGAAGTCTAAATTATAGAATAAATCACATCTAGCAATAGAAGAATGAGTTGCCAGGCAATTGTTGATCACCAAGATAAGTAGTACCCAAAATAGAAAATTAAAGAGATACCAGTCGAACCCCCCACACCTGAATGGTATATTGCCCTCAATGTAACAAATAAACAGCAAAAGCAAGAAGAAAGGCAACGGAACTTCCCTGAAGTCAGGGTCACAGCGGTGGGTGAGACAGAAATAGTGCTTGATGAAGCGGCAGCGAGCGCAAGAGGCGGTGGCGGCGCTTGGCAGTCGCGCACGAGAGAGGTGGCGAAGAGAAGAGGCGGCGGCAATGGAGGGTTTCGGCCAAAATAGAAAAGGGAGAAAGAGAAACAGGGGAAAAGAGGAAGAAAATGGAAAGAAAGAAAAAAAATAAAAATAGTTTTTTGGGGGTTTTTTTTTTAAGTCAAAATTTGAAATTTGGTATTTGAAAATCGAAATTCTGAGTTGAACGGGAAATATTTTTAATTTTTTATTTTTTAATTTAAAAAAAAAAATTTAAGGATCTTAGGTCGTCAAATATGGCGTGGGCACGCCAAGAATATAAAACGTTCACTGGCCTTGAGAGTCACTTTTTACAACTTAACACGTGCCCTCCTCGCGTGGGCACGCTAGGATTCCACTTCTTGCCGACGTCGCGAGATGTTGAGATTTTACCAATATGACGTGAGCACCAATGTTTTTAAACTCGGACCGATCAGTGAACCGGAGAGGTGGCCGGTTCGCGGTTCGACCGGTCCGACCGGTCCAACCGGCCGGTTCAAAGGTTCACGAGTCACTTTTTACAACTTAACACGTGCCCTCCTCGCGTGGGCACGCTAGGATTCCACTTCTTGCCGACGTCGCGAGATGTTGAGATTTTACCAATATGACGTGAGCACCAATGTTTTTAAACTCGGACCGTCAGTGAACCGGAGAGGTGCCGGTTCGCGGTTTCGACCGGTCCAACCGGCCGGTTCACAGGTTCACTGTTTTTTTTTTTAAGTGTTAAGTACTAAAGCAGGTTTCATTCTACACTTGAACTTTACCAACATAACTTAATTTAAGTTATGATAATAATAAATTTCCTAAAAGTTATACATAAAACATGGAATGATAAATATAATTAAAATATCATAATTCACCATAAGTTTTCATAAATTCATTATAAACATAAATAGATACAATCCAAATGTTCACCAATTATCACAAATAAAAACACAAAAAATAAATAAATTAAATATTGAAATTCTTTTACAACCCTTAAAAAAATCCATAAAAGAGTTCAAGTTAAGACAAACTATTTGAATAGCAAACTTTTATCAGTGGCATGATAAACAACCACACCACCTTCACAATTTCATCAACTTAAGCTGAAAAAGTTAAAATTTTATTATAAAAATATAAATCTAATTGCTCAAACTAAAAAAAACTAAAAATTTTTTGAAAAACAAATATACAGTTAAACACATAAAAAATTAATTGCTACTAAACATTACTAATTAACATGTTATATTAAATTCAATGATCCTATACCATTAATTATTTTAAATTCAATTATCAATAGCTTCGATTATGTGCCAACTACCATATTTTTTACCAGCCCAATGTTATTATTTGTAATTCCTACCCAATTCCTACACGGATGTGCACTACTTTTGCAAAAATTTCATCCTTAATTAATCGAATAAAATTAAAACAAAAATGAGGGAAACATATGAAAATTGAGGGGAAAAAGAAGAAAATGCAAAAAATCAACTAAAGATAATAATATAGAAAAAAAAACCTTGAAAAGAAAAAAATTAAACTTACTAAGATGTTGAAAAACAAGAAAAGTTGAAATTTTCAACTTGTTTACAATTTGCTAAAGATAATAACCTGATAATAATGGTGAAGACTTAAGAAAATCTTGTTGTGGATATTTGGGTTAAAAATGGTTAAGAAGAAAAAATTGAAAAAAAAATAAGAGAAGAACTTGATGTTTTAATATATTTTTAGTCAAGTAGAATTCTCAACAAACTTAACTACAGTCTAGCGGTGAGATTGTCATATCCAAACTTGGAGACCCAGATTCGAATCTTAGCTACACCATTCTTGATATTTTGTTGAAGAATTTAAAAAACCGCCGGTTCACGGTTCGCACGGTTCGTCCGGGTTTCAACGGTTCTCCATGAACTTCCGGCTTTAGCATTAGACCGAACCGGTGACATGGCCGGTTCGCGGTCCAACCGATCGAACCGGCCGGTCCGGTCCGGTTCTGAAAACATTGGTGAGCACGCTAAGATTGGTAAACGCCCACTGACCATGAGGTTAGGGTTTACTCGATTAACACGTGCCTTCCTCGCGTAGGCACGCCAAGATTACCTTACCTGTCCTGGTCACAGTAGAAGAAAATATTAAGAGCGACTAGTACCCCAGTGAGAAACTTACAAATTGAAAGAATTGAACAGCAGAAAACAACAAAAATAATATTTGGGTTGCCTCCCAAAAAGCGCCTATTTTTAATGTCTTTTGGCTAGACATTGAACACCACTCTTTAATCTGGATGCAATTCAATTTTTCTTGTAATCAGTGACCCTCCTCTGAGATCTAAATAGCCATTGAGTGCAATCTTCTTTCTAAATTTTCTACTCATTTTCACCTCATAAATTGTTTTCATCCCCTGATACTTGTTCGCAGGAACTTTGAATTTACCCCTACAACCAAAACTCATAAAATTCTTGCACAGAGAAATTAGTAGTATGAATAACAAACACAGAATGAGAGTTAACATGATGTTTTATTATATTAAAAATATTAAAGTGGACTATTTCTCCATCGAATTTCATTGTGGGAGTACCCTTACTAACATCAATCTTAGTTTGGGCAGTACTCAAGAATGGCTTTCTTAATATAATGGGTGATGGATTTGGGGCACTTTCATCATCCATGTAAAACACATAAAAATCAGCAGGAAAAATTAATCCATCTATTTGCACTAAAACATTCTCAACTACCTCATCCGGATAAGCAAATGTACGATCAGTTAATTGAATTATTATTCCTGTTTCTTTTAAAGGTTCTAAATTTAGGAATCATAAATTGATTGAGGCATCACATTAATAGAAACCCCTAAATCTAGCATGGCATTTTTGATATTAGAATGTTCAATCTTACAGGGAATAGTAAATATATTTGGATCCCCACATTTAGGTGGTAGTTTTCTTTGTAGAATCGCTGAAACGTTCTCACCTACTACAATATGCTCAACCCCCCTCAATTTTTTTTTTTGACACACAAATTTTTCAAGCATTTAACGTATTTTGGCACTTGGTTGATCGCGTCCAATAAAGGGATATTGATTGCCACCTTTCGAAACACCTTTAGAATCTCCTTTTCCTTATCTTGCTTTTTCGATTTCTCCAACCTATTAGGAAAAAGCAGTAGGTTAGTTTGTAATGAATGAGTCCGGGATTATCTTTGGATCCTTGTTGCTTCTGTCCTCCTCTTCAATATCTTTCTCAATTCGTTTCTCGTCCTTGTCCTTAGCAATCACAAGCTCGAGTGCTTGGATTTCCTTTCCACTCCTCAAGGTCATTGCGCTCACATTCTTCAAGTTCAATTCAGGTTGAGACAACAATTTTTCATAAACTTGGGATTCCAGGCAGTTGATTGTTATTGTCATCTGACTCTGCATTACTTGCATCTGTTCCAATTGATTCCTCATACTTTGTAGGTCAAAATCCGTCTTTTGCTGACTAGCAATTAATTGTTTCATCATCTCTTCCATAGACGGGCTTGAGTTTGAAAGTGATGGTGGCGGGCGAGGTTGATACTGTTATTGGTACTATTATTGTCTATTTGGTGCAAAATTCGACTGTCTATTTCCTTCATAGCTGAAGTTAAGATGATCTCTCCAGTCCGAATTGTACGTATTCGAGTATGGGTCGTATGGTTGTTTTAGCGTGGGCGCGTGACCAACCATATTCACTTGTGCTGCACTTTTTTCCTGAACCAGTGGACACATCTCTGTAGAATGACCCAAGGCAGTACATACCCCACATACTTTAGCCTGTGAGGCACTTCCCACAGTTAGTTGTCGCATGAAAGACGTCAATTCGGAGAGTTGCTGTTGGATAGAAGATGTTTTTACCTCATTCACCTTACACGTCGGGATGTTCTCTGTTGACCCAAACTACTGTGAATTCTCAACCATCCCTTCAATCAACTCCCATGCTTTTCGAGGAGTCTTGTTCATCAACGCCCCTCCACTTGCAGCATCGATTATGCTTCTGTCCCTGAAGAGTAGCTCCTCATAAAAATATTGGATGAGCAGTTGTTCACTTATCTGATGCTGAGGGTATTTTATGCACAACTTTTTGAATTTTTCCCAATACTCATAGAGGGACTCGTCTGGATGTTGTTTGATGCCGCATATCTCTTTCCTTAAGTTGGCCGCTCGAGATGCTGAAAAATATTTGTCTAAGAATTTTTTCTTCAACTGGCCCCACGTGGTGATACTACTTGATGGTAGGTAGTACAGCCAGTCTTTTGCGGAGTCCTTCAAAGAGAAGGGGAAGGCCCTCATTTTTATCTGATCTTCTGTGATTTTTGGGGGTTTCATACTGTTGCAAACGACATCGAACTCTTGCAAGTGCTTATAGGGCTACTCAACTAGTAGACCATGGAAAGGTGACAAGAGGTGAATTAAACCAAATTTTAGTTCAAAGGGAGTGTTATCATTCAAACTTGGGAAAGTAATGCATAAAGGTTGCTGATTTAAATTAGGAGCATCTAACTCCCTCAGTGTTCTTGCATTCGCCATGGTGACTTTCTCTTGGTCTGAATCACTTGAGTTATCACCATGTAAATCCGTCAACTCAACCTCTGGATCAAGTTCTTGAGGTGCAACACTGGACTGCTCTTCTCTGAATTGTTTGGTTTCTTTTCTCGTTCTACGTGCGATTTTCTCTACCTCATGGTCGAAAATTAATTTGCCTGTACAAGAAAATGAGGCATAAACTAGAAAAATATCAGAACATTAGAACAAAATTGAATTTAGAAAGAAACAAATAATTAATGCCAGTCCCCGGCAACGGCGTAAAAAATTGACAGGTATCGAGTCTGTGCAATAATAAAAATAAAACCTAACTACCACTAAAAGCAGTTAATAATCAATCCTAGGTACTGGTGCAGGGACTCTAGGTGTGCAATGGGTTACTTGATTCATCTTGTTCCCGAAGATTTTGCTTAATCCGATATACCAGAATTAATTAGTTGACAAAATTTACTAACTAGTAGATAGTGGCAAACAGGGTCGTCTCCTCAAGAATTGGGGATATTTGTCTCTTTGAGGCTCCAATTGGTAAAAAGGAGGTTTTATCGGAATAAAACTAAAAATAATTAAGCAATTCAACAAAAACGAATAATTAACTAGCATGAATGTAGACAGGAATTAAATCAAGAATAGATAAATTCTAGTAAAAAATATAACTACTCAGACACAGTCCATTCATCTGATCATTGATGCAAAGAAGGTTCACTTAATTTATTAATAGGCTAGTTATAGTCACCGACAAACTCTAACGACCAATTTTTTCTTAATTTATTGATAACCAAGGTACGACCATTGATTACCCCTAACTAGAAAATATTCCTAGGTACGACCGTAGGAATTAATTCTCCAATTGCATTAAGAACTAGAAAAATCTAATCCCAATCAATAACACGCTATGAGGATTATTTAAATCAGATTGCCCGTTCCCATAGTGTGTAAAAACGCTAGTTGCCACTAATATTAATCGATTAAACAATTATGGATTTAATTGACTAATTTGGCAGGAGATTAATAAGTCACATTGAACATCATGCCTTTGACATCCAATTAACAAAATAATCCCATGAAAATTCAAGTAGACAACGTGTAAATATTAACAAATTAAGGAACGCATGAAAACTAATTAGATCTCATAGATATTCGGGACTGTGCCGTCGAGTTGATTCTTGACTAGATGAAAAGCTTAGTCGCACCTCATGAGAAAATTCTCACACAATTCAATCGAATTCAAAAGCATCTTTTTCGAATAGTCAAAGAGCATAAAAATTATGCTCCAGTCGAGATTAATGCCAATTGAAAAAGGAACTAAGACTAGTCAGTCTCAAGCTCTATTCCCTCTAAACAATCAAAAAGAGAATAAAAGTAAAAACTGCCCACGATTGTTTCCTTGTGTTTCGGAATTCTAGTACTAGTAAACTACCTATTATTAGTAAAACTCTAGTTAGCGAAAAGAGAAGGAATCCGTTGTAGCCCAATGTGGAGGCCGACTTGTAGGTATTTTGGAAGCTTCCCACGTGTGGAGTATTTTCCTCAAGAAAGTCTCCTTTTTAGCACTTGTTTGATCCACTTCCTGTAATTAGGGCCAAATACCAAATATAAGTATATGTCAACAATTAAAACAATATTTGGCAAGGACAAAGAGAGAAATTAACATTAAAATTGCTAACAATTAACACCCTATCAGAACCATATCTCTTCATGTAGGAAATCTAAGCTTAAATTCCATGGTGAGATTCCCCAAGAATTCGGTGGCCTCTTCAGGCTGAGATTCTTAAACCTGTCAAGTAACGCACTTAGTGGAAAAATCCCAGCAAACCTGAGCTACTGCTCAGAGTTGGTAACTATTGACCTAACCAGTAACAAGCTAGAAAGGAAAATTCTGATTGATCAGCTAAGCAGCCTGAAGAAGCTTAAAGGAATAGGTTTTACAGAAAACAATTTGACCGGAGAGATTCCCTCCTCCATTGGGAACTTATCATCGCTGACTCAACTCACTTTTGACTTTAACAATCTGGAGGGAAATTTGCCAATGGAAATGGGGCTCTTAAAAAGGTTATCTATATTTTCAGCAACAGAAAATAAACTGGCAGGTATTATCCCTGTCTCTATCTTTAATAGTTCAACCATTACTGCCATTTCAGTGGCCGGCAATTCCTTTCATGGCAGTCTCCCAACCAACAAAGGTCTCACCCTACCAAATTTGAAACTATTAGCTATTGGGGAAAACAATTTCTCTGCAAACTTTCCCACTTCAGTCACCAATGCTTCTGGGCTTGAGATATTTGATCTTTCCCATTGCAGGCCAAATTCCAACTAATTTAGGAGATTTGACAAATCTTCAATTATTAAATCTTGGTGCTAATTTCTTCAGGAATAATTCCACCCAAGACTTGGACTTTATTGCATCATTGACCAACTGCAGTAATCTAAGAATTCTTTCCTTGAGTGGGAATAAATTTGGAGGTAATATACCTAGAGTCATGGCCAATCTCTCAAATCAACTCACAAAACTATTCCTGGGGGGAAATCAACTGTCAGGAACCATTCCAGAAGGGTTTGGAAATTTTGTCAACCTATATCTCCTTGGCCTTGAATTATACTCTCTTTCAGGGGTCATTCCAAGAGATTTTGGCAAATTACAAAATTTGCAACATCTGTGTTTTGACAATAATCAATTTTCAGGACAAATAGCCTCTACTGTATGTAATGCCACCACTCTATACTATCTGGACTTATCATTTAACCAATTTCAAGGAGGCAATATACTTGACAATGTTTTTATGAACTGTCAAAATTTGCAATATCTAGATATATCTCATAACAACTTCAATGGAATTATATCACCACAATTTTTGCAGACGCTCATCACTGATGTACATCAAAATAGGTGAAAATTCGTTTAGTGGGTCTCTGCCTCCTGAAGTTGGAAAGCTTATACATTTGGTGGATTTCAATGTTTCGCACAACCAATTTGTTGGAGCTATACCCACATCACTTGCTGATTGTTCAAATCTGGCGAATCTTTCCATGCAGGCTAATTTTTTCCAAGGAACAATTCCACCAAATTTGGCTTCTTTGAAGAGCATCCAGCAAATAGACCTTTCAAGTAATAATTTGACTGGATCGTTGCCAAAAGAACTTGAGAAGCTTCAATATTTGAGGAACCTAAACCTGTCCTACAATGACATCGAGGGTGAGATACCAAACACGGGGATTTTCAGCAATGCAAGTCAAATATCATTGATTGGCAACAACAAATTCTATGGAGGCATTCTAGAATTGGAGTTCCCACCTTGCCCAATGATTAAGGGAAAAAACAGAGGAAAGCTGAAGGTTGTCATATTGCTGTCCATTGTTTTACCGGCAATGTTTCTGGTTCTTGGTACAGTGTTGTTATGTTTCTTGGCATATCGAAAAACAAAAAGAAGACTGGTGGCCAAATTCTCTAGCATGTCTACAAGAGTCAAAAAGTTCTTGCAAATTTCTTACCATGAACTTCTTCGTGCAACTTCAGGATTTTCTCCAGAAAACTTAATTGGTTCAGGAAATTTTGGAGCTGTCTACAAAGGTAGGCTAGAAAACATAGCAACAAGCTTGTAGCAGTCAAAGTTCTTGATCTTCAAAAGAACGGATCTTCTAAAAGTTTTAAGGCTTAGTGCAAAGCATTAAGAAATATTCGCCATAGAAACCTCGTTTCTTTCGTGAGTTATTGCTCTAGTATTGATTCCAAGGGTGATGAATTCAAAGCTCTGGTCTATGAGTTAATGGAAAATGAAAATCTGGACCTGTGGCTGCATCCAGAGACAACTGATAAACCAACAAGCTCAAGAAGCCTTAATCTTTCTCAGAAGCTAAATATTGCAATTGATGTGGCTTCAGCATTGCAGTATCTTCACAACCACTATGTATTGCGGAAGCTCTACCAAATTAAGGTATAACGAGTAAATTATTGTATCTAAAATTGTAAAATGATAATTTCTAGAAAATATTTGGTAAAGTACACTGGCCTGCTTAAATACCAATTTTCTAGACAGAATCACCTATATATGCAATTAATTGCACAATAACTCACTATAAATATACCTACAAATATAACTATTAAATAGACAATAAAATAGAACACTAGAATTTGACGAGGTTCGACTAATTTGCCTATGCCTTCGGACACTACCGATAACTTAATATTTCATTAGAAGAAATATTACAAAGAGAAAGAAAGAAGTAAGTTATAATGCTCTTGCTTGGTGTACTTCAATTGAGAAAAGAGGTTGTTAATTTATAGCTAACAACAACTTCTCCTCAAGGCTAATCAACCGATGTGGGATTTCCTCAAGGCTAATCAACCGATGTGGGATTTGGGATTTGTGCACAATTGTCAACAATTGTAACTTTGCACAATTGTCAACAATTGTAGCTTTACACAATCAACAATTGTGGCTATTGAGCTAATAAGTCAACAAATCTCCACCTTGGCAAAATCTCTACATCTTCAATGCTTCTCTCTTCTCCCAACATTCGGTGGTGTCTTCAAATGCGCCATTAAGGGCCAATCTTCAGGTTGTGCATAACATTTATCAAATTCAAACAATGCTGGAATTTGATAGTTGTCACAATCTTCGTAAGCATATCAGCAGGATTCTCCTTGGTCTGAATCTTTTGAAGTAGTATCGTACTATCTTCCAAAATCTTCTTCGCAAAATGATACCGTACGTCGATACGTTTCGTCCTTGCATGATAAACCTGGTTCTTTGCTAAATGAATAGCACTTTGACTATCACAATGAACTTTAAAAGGCTTCTGTCCGATTCCCAATTCATCAAGCAACCCATGAAGCCAAATTGCTTCCTTAACCGTCTCCGTAACTGCCATATACTCCGTCTCTGTAGTAGACAAAGCAATTGTTGACTGCAAGGTAGACCTCCAACTGGTTGGTGCCTTAATAAGTGTAAACATATACCCAGTCGTTGATCGACGTGTATCTTGATCAGCTACATAGTCGGAATCACAATATCCAACTGCGCCTTGACCAATCTTCTTAGCCCGCTCAAATACTAATCCAACATCTACGGTATTCAAAATATATCGTAAAATCCATTTTACAGCCTGCCAATGCTCCTTGCCAGGATCATGCATGTACCTGCTCATAACTCCAACTGCTTGTGAAATGTCGAGCCTTGTACACACTATAGCATACATCAAGCTACCCATTGCATTTGCATATGGTACCTTTGTCATATATTCTCGTTCTGCATCATTCTTTGGAGATAACGATGCATTGAGCTTGAAATGAGGAGCAAATGGAGTACTAACAGGTTTGGTTTTTTCATTCATGCCAAATCTCTTTAATACTTTACTAAGATACTTTTTCTGAGTCAAATAAAGCCTCCATAATCTTCTATCTCTGCTTATCTCCATGCCGAGAATCTTCTTGGCTTCGTCGAGATCCTTCATTTCAATCTCTCGACTCAAATGAGATTTTAATTTTTCAATCTCACATTGATCCTTGGAAGCTATCAACATATCATCAACATAAAGAAGAAGATATATGTAGGATCCATCTCGTAACTTGTACAAATATACACAGTCATCATATTTGCTTCTTGTGTACCTCTGTCCCATCATAAACTTGTCAAATCACTTGTACCATTGCCTTGGAAACTGCTTCAATCCATACAACGATTTGTCAAGCTTGCACACCATCTTTTCTTTACCAGCAACTTTGAATCCTTCTGGCTGAGTCATGTAGATTTTCTCTTCCAAGTCACCATGTAAAAATGCAGTTTTTACATCTAATTGGACAAGTTCCAGATCCAATTGTGCTACCAAAGCCAATAAAATTCTGATGGAGGAATGTTTCACGACTGGAGAAAACACTTCATTGTAATCAATTCCCTCCTTCTGAGCGTAGACTTTAGCCACCAATCTTACTTTGTAGTGAACACCAGATTTGTCAGGAAGTCGTTCCATCTTTGCATATACCCACTTGCACCCAATTGCCTTCTTTCCCTTTGACAGATTGACAAGTTGCAAAGTCTGATTCTTATAAAGGGACTGCATTTCTTCTTCCATGGCTGTCCTTCATTTTCCTTTCTCTGAACTTTGGACAGCTTCAAGATAAGTGGTAGGAACTTCATCTGTTGCAATTGCAGATGCATTAGCCACCATATTAACATACCGAGCAGGTACTTTGATATTCCTCTTTGATTTACTCAATACAATTGATTCAAATTGCTGTGAAGCCTCTCCAACTGGAACATCTTCTTCAGTTGATTCTTCTTCTACCATAAGAGTCATTTCATCTGTTCTTATATCCACTGCTGGTTTGATAATGCTTCTTTCAAACTCCATCTGCTTAGGAGTGCTCTCCACCTGTTGGGGAGTACCATCATTCTGCTGTACATCTACCTTTGTTAACATGGTAGATTCATCAAAGGTGACATCCCTACTGAAAACTATCTTCTTCGTCTCGGGACACCAAAGGCGATAACCTTTAATTCTGTCGTGATCCCCATAAAGAGCGCCTTCTTCGCCCTTAGATCCAACTTTGATTCCTTAACATGATAATATGCAGTAGAACCAAACACATGTAAGGAATCATAATCTATAGCAGGTTTTTCCGACCATTTCTCTAATGGCATTTTGCCGCCAATAGCAGTTGATGATAAGCGATTAACGAGATAATTTGCATATGTTAAAGCATCAGCCCAAAATTGTCTGTCCAACCCAACTTGGACAACATACACCGAATTTTCTCCACTAATGTCTGGTTTATATGCTCTGCCACCCCGTTCTGCTGTGGTGTATCTCTAACTATGAAGTGCCGAATAATACCTTCATTTGCATAGACCTCCATGAACGGATTACTAGTGTATTCACCTTCATTGTCTATTCGAAGGCGTTTGATCTTTCTTTTTGTTTGAGTTTCCACCATCTTTTTCCACTTGATGAAAATTTCCAATACTTCACTTTTCACCTTCATAGTATACACTCATACTTTTCGAGAGAAGTTATCGACAAAGGTAACAAAATAATTTTTGCCTCCTAGAGAAGTTGTTTTGGACCCCACAGATCAGAGTGCACATAATCTAAAATACCCTTGGTATCGTGAATTGCAGTGCCAAATTTTACTCTTGTCTGCTTCCCTTTGATACAATGCTCGCAAAAATCTAACTTGCAAACACTAGTTCCTTTCAATAGTTCTTGATTCATCAGAAGATTCAAGGATTTTTCTCCAGCATGCCCTAAATGCATATGCCATAATCTGGTTACTTTTAATTCTCGATCATCACTGGAAGCCACTGCTGCTACTCCAACAACTGCATTACCTTGATAGTAATACAAATTATTATTTTTTTGGATTCCTTTCACCAGCACCAATGCACCTGAAATGATTTTCATCACTCCATTATATGCCGACACCTTGTAACCCATTGATTCTAGTACTCCCACAGAAATGAGGTTCTTTTTCAATTCTGGCGCATATCGGACATCAGTTAGAATCCTAATTGATCCATCCTGATTCCTCAATCGAATTGAACCAACCCCATTTGTTGCTAATGTGGTCTCATCTGCCGTGTAGATGACTCCACCTTCTTATTCTTTGAAATCAAAGAATCATTCCCTATTGGACGTCATATGATGACTACAACCTGAGTCCAATAGCCATGTACTAGAATGACCAGTAGGCATGACAGCTAATGAAAAATCTGAGTCTTGATCAATGCACTCAGCTACATTTGAATCCGCAATAGTTTTTCCTTGTCAGGTCTACACTTCAGTTTTGGGCAGTTCTTCTTCCAATACCCTTTCTCTCTGCAAAAGGCACACTCATCTTTGCTTATTCTGGCTCTCGACTTGGATCTACCTCTCGTTCCCTTTATCTGATTTTGTGAGCGTCCTCTAGTTACCAGAACTTTTGCTGCTCCATCTCTGCTACTTTGCTTATTTTTTCTTCTGAGCTCGTAGCTGTACAAGGCAGAGCTAACTTCACTGAACGAAACCTCAGCTTTTTCATGGAGTAGAGTTGTTTCAAGATACTCAAACTCCTCAGGAAGAGATCCCAACAACATGAGAGCCAAATCTTCATCTTCAAATGTCACATCTAAATTTATCAAATCAGTGATTAACTGATTGAAATTAATGATGTGATCACTTAGAGTTGTGCCGGGAACATAAGTGAAGCGAAATAAACGTTTTTTCATATTGAGCTTGTTCTGACAATTTTTCTTCAAGAACTTCTCCTCCAATCTAGTCCACAATTTATTTGCAGAAGTTTCTTTTGAAAACACATATTTCTGTTCCCTTGAAAGACACGATCGAATTGTACCACACACTAAACGATTTAGCGTCCTCCATTCCTTCTCTTCAATCTCTTCTGGTTTCTCTTCTTCGATGGTAATGTCTAAACCTTGATTAAAGAGCGCGTCTAGAATCTCATTTTGCCATATACCGAAATGATCGGTACCATCAAATATCTCTACATTTAATTTTGCATTCATCATAACATTTATTGCCATAATAGACGATGACGAGCTTGTTGATGCTTGCATTGTAGATGAAGATCTACTTTCGACCATCTCTACAAATTATATTTAGTAGCTTCTAAATGTAGAGTAACAATAGCCCAAGAAATCTTTTCTGATGTGGAAGATCAGACTATGCTGCAACTACAGAGCATACTAAGAAATCTCGAGCTCTGATACCAATTGTTACGGAAGCTCTACCAAATTAAGATATAACGAGTAAATTATTGTACCTAAAATTGCAAAATGGTAATTCTTAGGAAATATTTGGTGAGGCACACTGGCCTGCTTAAGTACTAATTTCCTAGACAGAATCACCTATATATGCAATTAATTGCACAATAACTCACTATAAATATACCTACAAATATAGCTACTAAATAAACAATAAAATAGAACACCAGAATTTAACAAGCTTCGGCTAATTTGCCTACGTCCTCGGACACTACCGACAATTTAATATTTCACTAGAAGAAATATTACAAAGAGAGAGAATGAATCAAGTTATAATGCTCTTGCTTGGTGTACTTCAATTGAGAAGAGAGGTTGTTAATTTATAGCTAACAACAACTTCTCCTCAAGGCTAATCAACTGATGTGGGATTTGGGATTTGTGCACAATTGTCAACAATTGTAACTTTCCACAATCAACAATTGTGGCTATTGAGTCAATAAGTCAACACTGTGAAGCAGAGATTGTCCATTGTGATCTAAAATCGAGTAATATTCTTCTTGACAATGATCTTGTTGCCTATGTGGGTGATTTTGGATTGGCAAGGCTTCTCCCGAAACCCTTCAACAGATCTTCCGAGCAAGAAGGCAACAGTACTATTGCTATAAAAGGAACAATCGGTTACGCAGCCCCAGGTAGCACAAATTTTTATGTTCAAGATTTTACTTAGTTGTGCGCAGACTAACCAAAC